AGTTGTACCGTATTTTGACGAGCCCGTAGGGCTCACCAAAATACAACAAGTAAAAATACTCAGCGATACTACACACCAAAACGTCTAATACGTTATTTATTATATAACTGCTACCTGCTTAGTCTTTCTGCTCATTTCTCACGAGGCGAAAAGCAAAGCGGATAGAGAAGCATAACGCGCACAATCAACTAGTTAAACAGGTTTTTTTTATAATACAAAATAACCAACTGTCCAAATAACCCTACAATATCGCAGGATATTTGTGCTTTATTCGCGCGTTATTTGTACTCTACTTTGTGCAGTTGGATAATAATAACCGGTAAGAGTGCGAAAACTTCCCCAAGGAGCTGATTTTCTTTTCAAGATTACATGACAAATATGATCAATAAAGACCATGGCACTTCGTTCTAAAACTTCTATCGCGCCGTGGATTATTCCAAGAACAGCGATAAATTTGAGGTTTTCAAGCTCCGCCTGCATTACCCGAAACATAACTACTGATCCAAAATACAACGGCACTAACAAGATGTACGAGTATCCCGGATGAACAATTTTCTTCAGGCGTTGAGTGCAAAATCGTAAGATTACCTTAAAGACAACTTCAGAGAGAGGTGAGAAGAGTGCAATAAGGAGTTTTCCATGTTCAGTTTGTTTGTTGTACATTGGATAAATAAACGATGCTGCAGAGATGCCAATAAAGAAAGTAAAGCTGTAGGATGTTGTCAATTTTATAAATTAAGTCGCTCTCCTCAACAGGTTCCGGAAGTGATTTGTCAGAAGATAAACTTTCCAACATATGCTACTTAGAGATATAATGTTGAGAGGAATCTTCTGAGTCACAGAAAGCTGGGAATGAGATATTACAAAGACTTGAAGGACAACACGATACACTGCATCCACACAGAACAGGACAAAAACAACAAGAATGAGTTTTCTTTTCACGCCCTTTAACTGATACGGTCGAAAAAGAAAAAGCATTTCTACAAAGAACCACACATAAAGAAAGGCATCACCTATCACTTAAGACAATGTTCTGATCCACTGTATTTTAACTGGGATTGTCTCCTTTGGGTGAAATTGGCAGTTGCGTGTCGTTTCGTAAGAGACGTAAGCGATCATGACGTAAGAAAGGCCGTGGGTGACAGCGAATAGAAGTGAAATCAATGCGCCGATGTACATTGATTGACAAACTGTGCGAAGAACGGATGGTCTGAATCGCTTCCAAGCCATTTTGTCATTTTCATCTTGCTGTTCGTCTCCATCTTCATCTGGTGAGCTCGTGCCAATGACCCGGTATTTAACTCGAGAATTACCGATTGACAAGAGATCATATTCGTCATCTGATGGCGGTGAATATTCCTGGTAAATAGGTTTATCAACGGGCTGACAATTCCACTCTCGACCCTCACTGTTTAAGCTATCGTTACATCCGAAGATCTCCACCTCAGGCTCATCAGAGTCGTAATGCTCTGCCACGCTGCGTGTGAAGCTGGATGAAACACAAGCAAAAACTTCAAT